TATGTGTGTGTACAAGAATATGTTTTCAGTTGATGCTTGATCATGTCTAAGTGTTTTTGCGTATTAGGTTTGTGTTCATGCTTTTTTTTTGCGCCAAATGGGGAGGGAGTTCTTGGTTATAGTGATTTGAGGAGAATATCTATAAAAAGGATGTTGTGGTGATTTAAACTTATTTCCTGTGATTTTTGACGGTGATTTGGAGTATTCATTGGTGATTTTGTATTACTCCGTAGTGTTTTTGGGAGTATTCGGAGGTGTTGATGGTGTTTTTTGAAGGAGTTCAAATGATGTGCAGAGCATTTTTTGAAGAAGATGCATTGTGCTCAGAGTTTGGTTCAAAGTAGTCAGTGTGTTATAAATGGTAATGTCTCATGTCATAGTGTATGAGTTATTTTTGTTTTTTGTTCTAATGTTGTAAAGTCTGGAGAATGAGGAGGATTTGGGGGATAGTTGTAACTTAATGAAATGTGTAAGAGTGAATGAGAAATGTGAATTGGTGGGTGAGTTAGAGAAGACAAAATTGTTATGTGATCTTAGTAAAGTAAAATCACACAGGTTTTAGTGATCCTTCGTTATGATGATGTTTAAGAGAATGATGTACAAAAAAAACAAATGTGTATCATAGTGGTGGGTTTATTGAATTTGGCAAACGTTCTGATTGGTTGGTGATCTTAATATTGGAGAATATAACACGATATGTGTTTGTGTTATTTTTGGTAAAAATGTCTCATGTCATAAGTGTCTGAGTTATTTTTGTGTTAATGTTGTAAAGTCTGGAGACTGAGGGAGTAAGTATGGTAGATGTGTTTGTAATTCAGTTAATAAATGTTAAGTGTAGATAATTAGATATGATAATTCTTATTTGGGGAGTAATCCAAATGATATTTTGAGTGCTTCAGTGGTTTGTTTGGAAATGTTTTCAAAGGTGTTTATGTGAGTATTCAAAGTGATTAGAGAGTGTTCGAATAATCTTGGGTTGTTCTGTAGTGAGATATAAATGTTGTGATGAGAGATATGAGAAAAGGGTGTGTCAAATGATTATAGAGTGTTTTGAAGTGTTTCAAAGTAAAGTGATGTTGTGTGTGGTGTGCTGTGTGTGTGTGTGTGTGTTTGTGTTTAGGTGGTCATAGAGTTTTATGTGAATATCTTGGTTACAGTGATTTTAGTGATTTGAGTAGGATAATTAGGTTAGTTTTAGGTTAGGATAAGTTAGGTTAGATGAGTTAGGTAAGGTTAGTTCGGATTAGGTTAGGATAACGTTACGTTAGGTTTATTTTAGTTTAGGTTAGTTACGTTAGTTAGTTTAGGATAAAGGTAGTTAGTTAGGATAATTAGGTTTAGTATGTTTAGGATAAGTTAGGTAGGATATATTAGGTTTAGGTTAGATAAGTTAGGTTATGTAGGTTAGGTTAGGATGAAGTTAGTTTAGGTTAGGTTTAGATAAGTTAGGTTCAGATAAGTTAGGTTTTATGGATAGTTAGGGTTTAGGTTAGGATAGGTTAGGTTCGTTCGGTTCGGTTTAGGTTAGGTTAGGTTTAGGATAAGTTAGGTAGGTTAGTTAGGTTAGGTTAGGAAGGTTAGGTTAGGTTAGTTAGGATAGTTAGGTGTGTGTGTGTGTGTGTGTGTGTGTTAGGTGGTCATAGAGTTTGTGAATATCTTGGTACAGTGATTTTAGTGGTATTTGAGATGTATGAGATGCATTTGTGGATGTGAAATGTGATTTTTGTGTGTGTTCAGAAGGGGTGTGTTGGGAGATGGTGAGTGGATGTGAAGAAATGCGGGTGAGATGGAGAGGGGTATGGGGAGGGTTGTATTAGAAATTTAATGAAATATGGGGGGATTTTACTGAAAATAAAGGTAATGTGTGAATATTTAAAAAGAAATTATAGAATTGAAAATTTATGATAAATTGGAAAAGAATGGAGGGTGTTGAAACATGTCGCAATAGTTGGGTAGTGAGATTAGTTGATGTGAGTTTTAAATCAATTTATGTGGATACAAGGACATGGGAAAGGAGAGGATTTTAATTAGAATTTTAGTAACGTAAACAGGAATGTGTATTACATTTAAGATTCTTAAAAAGAAGGGGGAAAAAAATTGTGAATAAATTGGTAATTGATGAGGGTTGGTGGGTAATGTAGTCGAACTAGAGATACCAAAAACAGATGATATAAGTGGGTTGTTTTTGTGACTTTTTCTGATGAAATTAGTTAAAACGAGGAAAAAATTGTGGGTTGTTGGTGATGTGGGTTGTGGGGGATGTCGGATGTGGGTGTTGTGGGTTGTGGGTGTTGTGGGATGTGGGTGTTCTTAGTTTTTGGTGATTTTGGTGGTGTTTTGAGTGTAATTCAGTGGTGTTTTAGTAGTTTTTCAGTGGTGTATTTGGGAGTACTCAAATGGGTTTTTGAGGTTATTCAAAGGTGTGATTATAAGTTGTGGGTTTTTGTTGTTGTTGTGACTTTCTGATGAAAATTTGTTAAAACGAGAAAAAAAATTGTGGGGTGTGGGTGATGTGGGTTGTGGTGTTGTGGGTGTGGTGATGTGGGGGTTGTGGGATGTGGGTTTTTGTGGTGTTGTTGTCGAACTAGAGATACCAAAAAAGATGATAAGTGGGTTGTTGTTTGTGCCTTTTTTCTGAGAAATTAGTTAAAACGAAAAAATTGTGGGGTGGGGTTTTGGGGGTTTGGGTGTTGTGGTTGTGTGATTGGGATTGGGTGTTGATCTAGTTTATGGTGTTTTTTGGTTTTTTTTTGAGTGTATTCTGGTTTTAGTATTTCATGGGTATTTGGGAGACCCAAATGGTGTTTTGGAAGTGTTTTCGGTTTTTTGGGAAAATGTTCAAAGGTTTTTTTGAAGTGTTCAAATGTGGCAAGAGTACTTGGAAGTTTTCTGAAGTACAGAGGGATTTGGGGGTTCGAATGTTTTTTTGGGGAGAAATTTAAAGGAAAAAGATGGGTTTTTTGGTGATGTTTCAAAGAAAAGTGTTTTAGTTTTTTTGGGGAAAAGTTGGAATCGGGGAACTGAGGGAGGAGTTTTTGGGAATTTAATTTAATAAAATTTTTTAAGTTAGAAAAATTTAAAAGCTGTCAAATTTTATTTGGGAAAAACCAAATGATTTTTAGGAAGGTTTCAGTGTTTTTGGGGAAAATTAAAAGGGGTATTTTTGGAGTATTCAAAAAAATGAAGTGTTTTTAAGTTTCAAAGTAAAGTGAGGGTTTTTTGCGTATTTCTTCGTAATAGAAAAAAGTACTAGTAAATTTACGAAAAGTGGTTTAAGTGTTGTGGTGCTTTTTGGAAATAGTTAAAAAGAGAAAAAATTTGGGGGGTTTTAAATGAAAATTGGAGTTTTTTTGGAGTGTGGGGTTTGGGAGGGGGGGAGGGGGGGGAGAGAGAAAGGGTTTCTTCGTGGGAGTGACCTGAATAAATAGTTTAAAACGGAAAAAGCAACTTTGTTTTTAAGAAATTGTGATTGTTGTGGATTACGAAAAAAAAAGTGAAATTATTTGGATTAACCCGGGTTAAAGGGGAAAATGTTTTCCCCAGTTGAAAAGAAATGGAAAGGGGGAAATCGACAAATTCACCTGTGGTTGGGGGCATCGCGTGACGTCACTGACAAGGGGAAGTCGACAAGATTTAGCCTGAGTGTGAGGCATCACGGACGTCACGACCGCCGAGTAAACACACTTTTTTGTTCATTTAAATTAAGAGGAAACTGACGCACACTTGTTTAGACCGTTAAAAAAGTATCATGCCCCATAGGAGGAGTTCAATTGAAGCTTTTCCCAAGGGGGGAACCAAAAAATTTGATCCGAGAGATGGATCTTCGTATTAACCAGAAAAAAAAAATCGAAAAAATTTGGGATGGGGGTAAAAGTGGGGGGAATACAAAAAACTTGATCCAAGGAGATGGAGACTTGGTATTATCGAGAAAACTTGATCCAAGGAGATGGAGTCTTTCGTATTATCCAGAAAAAAAATCGAAAAAATTTGGGATGGGGGTGAAAGTGGGGGGAATCCAAAAAACTTGATCCGAGGAGATGGAGTCTTGGTATTATCGAGAAAACTTTATCCGAGGAGATGGAATTTTTTCGTATTAAAACCAGAAAAAAAATCGAAAAAATTTGGGATGGGGGTGAAAGTGGGGGGAATCCAAAAAACTTGATCCGAGGAGATGGAGTCTTGGTATTATCGAGAAAACTTGATCCTAGGAATTGGAATCTTTGTATTATCGAGAAAATGAAATTCGAAAAAAAAATTGGGATGGAGGTGAGAGTGGGAGGGGCAATCCAAAAAACTTGATTCGAGGAGAGCACAATAAAATGAAATTCAAAAAAAAATTGAAAAAAATCGGAAAAAAATTCGGGACGCGGGGGCGATCCGGACGACGCTGCAGAAGGCGCAGCAAAAGGCGCGGGGCGGGGCGCGAGGGGCGCGGGGCGCGGGGGGGGTGCGAGGGCGCCGGTGGGGGCCGGGTTTGGGGGGGGCGAAGGGCACGGGGGGGGACGAGGCGGGGGTCGTGGACGGGGTCGGGGGCGGGGTTAAGGTCATTAGCACTAGGTGTAAAAGGTCATTAGCACATAGTGTGGAAAAAGGGACCGCTCAGCCGCAGCCCTTTCGGAGGAACCGGAAGTAACACCTGGGGTTTACTTCCGTGCCATACGCCGCCTCCAGTACTACTTATAATATATATATATATAAAATATATATATATATATATATATATATATATATAATATATATTATATATATATATATAATAATAATATAAATAAATACACCTTGACAAGGTCATCTTGAAAGAGATAATTACCTTGACAAGGTCATCCTGAAAGAGATAATTACCTTGACAAGGTCATCCTGAAAGAGATAATTACCTTGACAAGGTCATCCTGAAAGAGATAATTACCTTGACAAGGTCATCCTGAAAGAGATAATTACCTTGAAAGGTCATCCTGAAAGAGATAATTACCTTGAAAGGTCATCCTGAAAGAGATAATTACCTTGACAAGGTCATCCTGAGTATTAAAGTCCTTGTTACACTCCCTCCAGTGGCAGTGAGTCTCGATGAAGTCCGGAGGCTCTTCCTTGAGTCCGTCCTCGTCCCTGGCTGAGGAGGCACTCACCACACCACAGGCTCCACCGGAGGTCGTACTGGACGCCTCCTTCTTCACCTTGGAGGCCACTTTGTCCTCCTCCATGGTGCTGGAGATCGTGGGAGACGCCTTCTTCTCCGCCTGCAACCACACATATCAATCACACTCGTAGAACATCTAAGCGAGTACAAATAGGAAGCGCGTCTGTCTGGCGCTCACCAGACGGAGGATCGAGCCTCCAACACGTCTTGCGCTGAATGACTCACTTGGGTTTAGCGCTTAACATGGATTAATTTAAATTTTATTTAAATCACACTCGTAGTATTTTTATTATTTTATTTTAATAAGTATTAATTATTTTAATTACTATTATTAAATACTATAATTATTAATTATTTAACCCAAGTATTATTATTAAATATTATTAAATCATTATAACTTATTTTCAGTATTAAATTGATTTTTTATCAGTTCAAATTGGGAAGGATTTTCATCCGAGGAATTGGAGCTGCCCTCTCCCCATCCTCGAATTAAACCTGATTACTCATGCTTTCCTTCCCCAGACGCCACACGATCCCTACGGTTTAAAGCTCCCCATATAATATATATATATATATATAATATATATATATATATATATATATATATATATAATATATATATATATATATATATAATATATATATAGAGAGAGAGAGAGAGAGAGAGAGAGAGAGAGAGAGAGAGAGAGAGAGAGAGATCGTGCAGAATAGGTAAAACTGGTCAATTAGCAAGAACTGATTTAAAATTAAGTCCTTTCTAAAATTTTCTCTTATACGTTTAAAGATATATATATTTTTAATTTATGTTCATGTAAAAATTAATAATTTTGTACCAAAAGAACCTTAGAAAACTTACCTAACCTTATTATAACAAGCGCAATTTAATTTAGCCTAACCCAACTAAGTATATTTTAGATAAGTTTACAATAATTTAATAATAAACAAACACAATTAAATATATTTTTCGTTAGGTTCAAAATGATTTTGGTGAAATTATTGCATACACAAATTTTCGCTTGCCTTATTCGGCAAGAAGAGCGTTGTTACTTAAGCCAGACTCGCAAGTTTTACCTATTCGGCACGACATGTACAATATATATATAAACTACCTCTGCTTTGGGCGGTGGTGCTGTAGTGAGGGTGGGCTGGGCAGTGAGACTGAAGATGGACTGGTGGGTGGCGATGGTGGGCGGGGTGTGCTGGAGGAGTGGGCTGGGGGCCAGGAAGGGGGAGCCGGGGAGCGACGCCCCCCGCATCAGGTGTGCCTGAAGCTGCTGCAGGTGTGTGGCCGCCCCTACCCCAGGGTGCATCCCCAGTGCCGGCGAGATGGCCCCTGGGAGAAAAGAAGGTAGGTTACTGCACTGTGTGTGTGTGTGTGTGGTGTGTGTGTGTGTGTGTGTGTGTGTGTGTGTGTGTTCACATATTTACACAGCTCTACACACGCTGACTCAGCTCTAAGAATCATTTACTTTGCCTGACTGGTCATAGACCGGGCCATCAGCAAGAACCTGATTGGTCGTAGACCAGGCCACGGGCCATCAGCAAGAGCCTGACTGGTCACAGACCGGGCCACGGGCCATCGCAAGAGCTTGACTGGTCATAGACCGGGCCATGGGCCATCGCAAGAGCCTGACTGGTCACAGACCGGGCCATCGCAAGAGCCTGACTGGTCACAGACCGGGCCATCGCAAGAGCCTGACTGGTCACAGACCGGGCCATCGCAAGAGCCTGACTGGTCACAGACCGGGCCATCGCAAGAGCCTGACTGGTCACAGACCGGGCCATCGCAAGAGCCTGACTGGTCACAGACCGGGCCATCGCAAGAGCCTGAATGGTCACAGACCGGGCCACGATGAGCAGACGAAGGATTCAGTCTCCAGAGGCCCAGGCTAACAAGTGACTACGTATACCTGACATTTGAACTTACCTGTGGAAGGCGCTGCAGGCACCTTTTCCCCTTCCCCTACTTTGCGGAGTGTCAGCCTTACATGAATAACTCGCACACAGGTGAAGACGTTTCGGTCAAACTTGAACTACTGACAAGTCACACCGACTGGTTAATGGTCCAAGTCGGACCCAAACGTCGTCATTAAGCTTCTCCTATGTATGGGTTATTTGTGTATTGCTCCAGTCACAGTATTGTGCTTTTTTGCTCATGATTAAATACCTGGAGACTGTGAATACTAGTAAGTCTAGTGAACCTGACTACCTGGAGGGAGACAAGATGAACTACTGACCTGCGGAGAGGTGTCCGTAGGAGCCGCTGGCGGAGGACGACCTGGAACCATTCATGATGGAAACCAGAGAGTTGGGACTGAAGCGAATCATGGAGTTGATGTCAAAAGAATCACTATAAGGGGAGGAGGAGAGCGCCCGCTTGCGGCTCTGGCGCAGGCTGGGCCGCGGTGACGGTAGACGAGAACCTGTGGTATACAGAGACAGAATGAGAGTTTATTACTTTTATTATGCACCCCATAACCCACGGTGTGGGGCGGTAGTCAAAACATTACAGAGATACATAATGGGTCCAGGGACTGGGCCGCAAAGTTTTGATAGCTGAACAAGTTAAACACACACACACAGAAATATTTGTGACCTAAGTCTGGCTACTACAACATCAGTTAGTACTTGTAACCAAGCCTAAGTCTGGCTACTACAACATCAGTCAGTACTTGTAACCAAGCCTAAGTCTGGCTCTACAACATCAGTCAGTACTTGTAAACCAAGCCTAAGTTCGGCTACTACAACATCAGTCAGTACTTGTAACCAAGCCTAAGTCTGGCTACTACAACATCAGTTAGTACTTGTAACCAAGCCTAAGCCTGGCTACTACAACATCAGTCAGTACTTGTAACCAAGCCTAAGTCTGGCTACTACAACATCAGTCAGTACTTGTAACCAAGCCTAAGTCTGGCTACTACAACATCAGTCAGTACTTGTAACCAAGCCTAAGTCTGGCTACTACAACATCAGTCAGTACTTGTAACCAAGCCTAAGCCTGGCTACTACAACATCAGTCAGTACTTGTAACCAAGCCTAAGTCTGGCTACTACAACATCAGTCAGTACTTGTAACCAAGCCTAAGTCTGGCTACTACAACATCAGTTAGTACTTGTAACCAAGCCTAAGTCTGGCTACTACAACATCAGTTAGTACTTGTAACCAAGCCTAAGTCTGGCTACTACAACATCAGTCAGTACTTGTAACCAAGCCTAAGCCTGGCTACTACAACATCAGTTAGTACTTGTAACCAAGTCGAAGTCTGGCTACTACAACATCAGTTAGTACTTGTAACCAAGTCTAAGTCTGGCTACTACAACATCAGTCAGTACTTGTAACCAAGTCTAAGTCTGGCTACTATAACATCAGTTAGTACTTGTAACCAAGCCTAAGCCTGGCTACTACAACATCAGTCAGTACTTGTAACCAAGCCTAAGTCTGGCTACTACAACAACAGTCAGTACTTGTAACCAAGCCTAAGTCTGGCTACTACAACATCAGTCAGTACTTGTAACCAAGCCTAAGCCTGGCTACTACAACATCAGTCAGTACTTGTAACCAAGCCTAAGTCTGGCTACTACAACATCAGTCAGTACTTGTAACCAAGCCTAAGTCTGGATACTACAACATCAGTCAGTACTTGTAACCAAGCCTAAGTCTGGCTACTACAACATCAGTCAGTACTTGTAACCAAGCCTAAGTCTGTGCTACTACAACATCAGTCAGTACTTGTAACCAAGCCTAAGTCTGGCTACTACAACATCAGTCAGTACTTGTAACCAAGCCTAAGTCTGGCTACTACAACATCAGTCAGTACTTGTAACCAAGCCTAAGTCTGGCTACTACAACATCAGTCAGTACTTGTAACCAAGCCTAAGTCCGGCTACTACAACATCAGTCAGTACTTGTAACCAAGCCTAAGTCTGGATACTAACAACATCAGTCAGTACTTGTAACCAAGCCTAAGTCTGGCTACTACAACATCAGTCAGTACTTGTAACCAAGCCTAAGTCTGGCTACTACAACATCAGTCAGTACTTGTAAACCAAGCCTAAGTCTGGCTACTACAACATCAGTCAGTACTTGTAACCAGCCTAAGTCTGGCTACTACAACATCAGTCAGTACTTGTAACCAAGCCTAAGTCTGGATACTACAACATCAGTCAGTACTTGTAACCAAGCCTAAGCCTGGCTACTACAACATCAGTCAGTACTTGTAACCAAGCCTAAGCCTGGCTACTACAACATCAGGCAGTACTTGTAACCAAGCCTAAGCCTGGCTTACTACAACATCAGTCAGTACTTGTAACCAAGACTAAGCCTGGCTACTACAACATCAGTCAGTACTTGTAACCAAGACTAAGCCTGGCTACTACAACATCAGTCAGTAACTTGTAACCAAGACTAAGCCTGGCTACTACAACATCAGTCAGTACTTGTAACCAAGCCTAAGTCTGGCTACTACAACATCAGTCAGTACTTGTAACCAAGCCTAAGTCTGGCTACTACAACATCAGTCAGTACTTGTAACCAAGCCTAAGTCTGGCTACTACAACATCAGTCAGTACTTGTAACCAAGACTAAGCCTGGCTACTACAACATCAGTCAGTACTTGTAACCAAGACTAAGCCTGGCTACTACAACATCAGTCAGTACTTGTAACCAAGCCTAAGTCCGGCTACTACAACATCAGTCAGTACTTGTAACCAAGACTAAGCCTGGCTACTACAACATCAGTCAGTACTTGTAACCAAGCCTAAGTCTGGCTACTACAACATCAGTCAGTACTTGTAACCAAGCCTAAGCCTGGCTACTACAACATCAGTCAGTACTTGTAACCAAGCCTAAGTCTGGCTACTACAACATCAGTTAGTACTTGTAACCAAGCCTAAGTCTGGCTACTACAAACATCAGTCAGTACTTGTAACCAAGCCTAAGTCTGGCTACTACAACATCAGTCAGTACTTGTAACCAAGCCTAAGTCTGGCTACTACAACATCAGTTAGTACTTGTAACCAAGCCTAAGCCCTGGCTACTACAACATCAGTCAGTACTTGTAACCAAGCCTAAGTCTGGCTACTACAACATCAGTCAGTACTTGTAACCAAGCCTAAGTCTGGCTACTACAACATCAGTCAGTACTTGTAACCAAGCTAAGTCTGGCTACTACAACATCAGTCAGTACTTGTAACCAAGCCTAAGCCTGGCTACTACAACATCAGTCAGTACTTGTAACCAAGCCTAAGTCTGGCTACTACAACATCAGTCAGTACTTGTAACCAAGCCTAAGTCTGGCTACTACAACATCAGTTAGTACTTGTAACCAAGCCTAAGTCTGGCTACTACAAACATCAGTTAGTACTTGTAACCAAGCCTAAGTCTGGCTACTACAACATCAGTCAGTACTTGTAACCAAGCCTAAGCCTGGCTACTACAACATCAGTTAGTACTTGTAACCAGTCGAAGTCTGGCTACTACAACATCAGTTAGTACTTGTAACCAAGTCTAAGTCTGGCTACTACAACATCAGTCAGTACTTGTAACCAAGTCTAAGTCTGGCTACTATAACATCAGTAGTAGACTTGTAACCAAGCCTAAGCCTGGCTACTACAACATCAGTCAGTACTTGTAACCAAGCCTAAGTCTGGCTACTACAACATCAGTCAGTACTTGTAACCAAGCCTAAGTCTGGCTACTACAAACATCAGTCAGTACTTGTAACCAAGCCTAAGCCTGGCTACTACAACATCAGTCAGTACTTGTAACCAAGCCTAAGTCTGGCTACTAAAAACATCAGTCAGTACTTGTAACCAAGCCTAAGTCTGGCTACTACAACATCAGTCAGATATGTAACCAAGCCTAAGTCTGGCTACTACAACATCAGTCAGTACTTGTAACCAAGCCTAAGTCTGGCTACTACAACATCAGTCAGTACTTGTAACCAAGCCTAAGTCTGGCTACTACAACATCAGTCAGTACTTGTAACCAAGCCTAAGTCTGGCTACTACAACATCAGTCAGTACTTGTAACCAAGCCTAAGTCTGGCTACTACAACATCAGTCAGTACTTGTAACCAAGCCTAAGTCCGGCTACTACAACATCAGTCATACTTGTAACCAAGCCTAAGTCTGGATACTACAACATCAGTCAGTACTTGTAACCAAGCCTAAGTCTGGCTACTACAACATCAGTCAGTACTTGTAACCAAGCCTAAGTCTGGCTACTACAACATCAGTCAGTACTTGTAACCAGCCTAAGTCTGGCTACTACAACATCAGTCAGTACTTTGTAACCAAGCCTAAGTCTGGCTACTACAACATCAGTCAGTACTTGTAACCAAGCCTAAGTCTGGATACTACAACATCAGTCAGTACTTGTAACCAAGCCTAAGCCTGGCTACTACAACATCAGTCAGTACTTGTAACCATAGCCTAAGCCTGGCTACTACAACATCAGGCAGTACTTGTAACCAAGCCTAAGCCTGGCTACTACAACATCAGTCAGTACTTGTAACCAAGACTAAGCCTGGCTACTACAACATCAGTCAGTACTTGTAACCAAGACTAAGCCTGGCTACTACAACATCAGTCAGTACTTGTAACCAAGACTAAGCCTGGCTACTACAACATCAGTCAGTACTTGTAACCAAGCCTAAGTCTGGCTACTTACAACATCAGTCAGTACTTGTAACCAAGCCTAAGTCTGGCTACTACAACATCAGTCAGTACTTGTAACCAAGCCTAAGTCTGGCTACTACAACATCAGTCAGTACTTGTAACCAAGACTAAGCCTGGCTACTACAACATCAGTCAGTACTTGTAACCAAGACTAAGCCTGGCTACTACAACATCAGTCAGTACTTGTAACCAAGCCTAAGTCCGGCTACTACAACATACAGTCAGTACTTGTAAACCAAGACTAAGCCTGGCTACTACAACATCAGTCAGTACTTGTAACCAAGCCTAAGTCTGGCTACTACAACACAGTCAGTACTTGTAACCAAGCCTAAGCCGGCTACTACAACATCAGTCAGTACTTGTAACCAAGCCTAAGTCTGGCTACTACAACATCAGTCAGTACTTGTAACCAAGCCTAAGTCTGGCTACTACAACATCAGTCAGTACTTGTAACCAAGCCTAAGTCTGGCATACTACAACACAGTCAGTACTTGTAACCAAGCCTAAGTCTGGCTACTACAACATCAGTCAGTACTTGTAACCAAGCCTAAGTCTGCTACTACAACATCAGTCGTACTTGTAACCAATGCCTAATGTCGTGCTACTACACATCAGTCAGTATCACTTGCAAGTTGTCCATAATGTACTTACCTACAATCACGTTACTACGTAAATGATAGATTTACTCAGACTTATATATATATATATATATATATATATATATATATATATATATTTATATAAAT